TGGGGGGAGAGGGCTGGGAAGGGAGAAAAGTGAAACAATGAATGAATGGAAATCCAAAGTCTCTGTAAATTTTCATTGAAATTAATAATAAATTAAAAAAAGAAAGAAACCTGCTCAGTCCAGCACTTTCTAACCTTACTTCACTGGAGAGCTCAATCTTCTGTATCCCCCACCCCACGCCCCAACTCCATGTGTGATGGGCCACCTTTTGAGTTACAATTCTCTGCAGAAAGAACTCTGTGGCAGGAGGAGTTGGGTAGATTCAGGGCAAGGTCGTTTCTTGCTAGGGCTATTTTAGTTACCAATTCTCATTAGGATCCTAAAATAACTATCTCACCACCTCCAGGTTCGTTCCCCCTGCCCAATCCTCCACATCTTTTTTTTTTTATTTAAAGAATTTTTTTAATATGCTAATATTTTGTCCTGGTAATAAATTAATAGTGACCAAAAACTGCTGGGCACCGTCCAAGGGAAATGCTTTTGGGTGCATACAGAACGAACGACCTGACTTGACAGTGACATCGGGTTGGTTTATATTACTTTACTCCTCCACGCTCCCGTCAGATGGGTAGTGTGCCTACGTCGTAACAAGGGTGAAGGGTGGCACGTCACACAGAAGCATGAGCACCCAAACATCACGCTTGTCTTCCACGGGAAGTCATGATGTGGGTGGTCTGTATCTGTAAAGATTTCAACTGCCATTTCAGTTCCTGCAAGTGAAAGGCCTGACGAGAGAGAAGGGCTCAGAAATCATTTGATCTGGTCTCCGACTTTGCAGATGAGGGTTCACGGCCCAGCCGAGGGTCACAAAGCAGGGTGACTGTGCTGGACCACCATGGGGGGTGAGGGCGTCTGGGCCGTGGGGAATGAGGCAGGCACCCTCTGACAGACCGCCAGCTCACCCTGGGAAAGGGTTTGCTCTGTCAGACCGAGGCCTGAACCTGAGTGCTCTGCTGCAGTTGATCACTTCAGTGACTCGGCTGTCCTGGCGACAAAGCCATTCCCAGTCTGCAGCTCCAACACTGACTTCTGGGGCCATTTCTGCTTTTCTCTGGACCTGGGCCACAGAAGGGGTGCCCTTACTGCTTCTCTCTCGGGGTATCTCCTCTTGCTTAACACTCCATGTGAGCAGAAGGAACTAACATGTCATCCACACCCACAACAGGACTGCGGTGTCTGACGACTCCACTCGGGCCGCCTCTGGGGAGCACAGGCGCTCACTCCACTTCCTTCTGATTAGGACTCGTGCTCGTGGAGTGGGGGCTCTGGGCCCACCAGCTGCAGGAAGGGGGAAGATATGGCTCCCGGACTCACAACCGTGGAGACCCCAGGGGCCAGTTCACTGTCCTACAGGGTCACCTGAATAGGAACTGACCTGATGATGGTGCCGCTGGGTTATCCCAGGGCCTGCCTGCACATATGAAGTCTAACAGGTGGCACACTTAACAGAATGCAGGCCTTTCAATGATGACAAGGCCAAGAGGGGAGGCAACTGGAAGGGCAGGCCTGCCAAGAAAGCAGGTATTCTTAAGTTCTGAACAGGAAAGGTGAAGTCACATGTCCTGAAGGGCGAATTCTAATAATCTTGGTTACCAAGTCCCAAGGCCAACCCATTCCCTGTCAAGGAATACTCATGACCTTGAGGTAGGTGATGCTGTCATCGGTTATTAATTAAAGATACAAAAATGATGAAACAGTGGGAATGGAAACTCTGGTTTCTTTAAATTCACCATTTTCCCTCCATGTTCAGGTGGAAAACAAGCAACACTGGCTTCCAAAAGTGTTAAGCGTGAAACACGAGGCATTTCATGTCACGGCGGCTCCTTTATTGAAGAGGAAGGTTGCTGTCCACACAGGAGTCCGCTCTGACAACACAGCAAGCCACAAAATCTGTCCCCAGGAAGAAGTCGCAGATGACCTGTCTATCAAGGCTCATTCTCAAGTGTTCTGGATTTGGAATCCGAGGGTCTTCGTCAGCATTTAACTAATTCTGTGTTGGCTGAAGGGGCCGGGACTGTCTCGCCGCACATAAACTGGTCTTTGTCATAGATCACTTTTATAACGAGAGAGCAGCTGGGACACGTCGCCACCTCTTCTCCATTCTCCAAATCCTCCTTGGTGATACAGAAGTTGTCACCGCACGGGCAGGGGTAGAAGTACGACTCCGAGTCCTCGTCATACTGGAAGTCCTCGATCTCCACCTCGTCGTGAAACACAGCCATTGCCCCTGAGCCAGCAGGATGGCAGACACCCGCCCCGCGCCCCTCCGTCTCCTTGTCTAACCCAGTGCGGCTGCTCTGGCGCTCCCCCACATCTTTTTTAAAAGTCTGTACTTGGCACTTGTTTCCTAGAAATCTTTAGAGAGCTCTCACTGCCTCTGGTAATATGCCCAAGTCCCTCAGGGTGGTGTACTCTTTAGACTAAGCCTTACTGTTCTTTCCCTTGTCTTCTGACATTCGGTTGTTGTTGTTGTTATGTGCCGTCGAGTCGTGTGAGACTCATAGCGACCCTATGTACAACAGCCCTAAACCCTGCTCTATCCTGTGCCAATCGCAATGCCTCTGACACACCCATCCCGATTACCCCAGTCACTGAATCAATCCATCTCATAGAGGGTCTTCCCAACTTGTGCCGTCCCTCCACCCGCCCAAGCATGATGTCCTTCTCCAAGGACCTGTCTCTCCTTACAACATGTCCAAAGTATGTCAGACGAAGCCCCAGAATCCTTGCCTCCAAGGAGTAGGTTGGTTTAACCGTCTCCAGGATGAATCTGTTTGTTTTCTTGGCAGTCCATGGTACATTCAATACTCTTCTTCAGCACCACAGCTCAAAGGCATCAATTCTCCTTCTGTCCTCCCTAGTCATTGTCCAACTCTCTGATGCATAACAAGTGATTGCAAAGACCATGGCCTGTATCAGGCACACCTTAGTCTCCAGAGAGACACCGTTGCTCTTGAGTACTTTAGAGAGGTCCCTAACAGCAGACTTTTCCATTGCAATACGTTTTTTGATTTCCTGGCTGCTGGTGCCAAGAGTTTTGACTGTGGAGCCGAGCAAACTGAAGCTGTGAACAATCTCAATTTCTTCGCCATCCATCCTGAAGCTGCCAATTGGTCCAGTGGTGAGAATCTTTGTCTTCTTGACATTGAGCCTCAGTCCATACTGAAGGCTGCAGTCCTTGACCCTCTGCAGCAAGTGCATGAGGTCCTCCTCAGTTTCAGCAAGCAGGGTTGTGTCATCTGCATAATCGCAGATTGTTAATAGATCTTCCACCAATCCCGATGCCACAATTCTCCTCATAGAGCCCAGCCTCCCGGATAATCTGTTCTGCATACAGGTTGAAAAGGTATGGAGACAGGACACATCCCTGGCGTATGCCCTTCCCAATTTTGAAACATGTAGTGTTACCCTGCTCTGTTCTGACAACTGCCTCTTGGTCCAAGTATAGGTTTCGCATTAGCACGATTAAATGTTCTGGGATTCTCATTCTTCTTAGAGTCAGCCACAGTTTGTTATGATCCACACAGTCAAATGCCTTTGCATAATCAATGAAACACAGTTAGACATTCTTCTGGTATTCTCTGCTTTCAGCTAAGATCCATCTAACATCAGCTACAATATCCCTAGTACCATGACCCCTTCTAAACCCAGCCTGGACTTCTGGCAATTCTCTGCTGATGTGCTGTTCCAGTTGTTTTTGGATAATCTTCAGTAGAATCTTGCTTGCATGTGAAATCAATGATATTGTTCTGTAGTTTTCACACTTTGCTGGGTCACCCTTCTTCGGAATGGGAACAAATATAGATCTCTTCCAGTCAGTCTGACATTCTAGGCACCAAAAATATGTTGCAGCTTTCTAACCATTGTTGGTGCTGAGATACTGAGAAGTGTTAAATAATCTGAGAAACTTGGCTATATGTAGGTGAATGCGGCATCAGGATACGAGGAAGACTCATCAATGATCTGCAATATGCAGATGACATAATCTTGTTTGCAAAAAGTGAAGAAGACTTGACAAGTTTATTGATGGTATTCAAATGCAATAACCTTCAATATTGATTACATCTCAACATAAATATGGATTACATTATCAACAATATATAAAAGAACCTTAAAATTGGACAAATTACATTATGGTAAATTGAGAAAAGATTAATGTTAAGGATGTAACTTTTCTTGGATCCACAAACAAAACTCACAGAAGCAGGAGTCAAGAAATAAAATCATTTATTGCAGTGATATATATTATTGTTCCAACAAAATCTTTAAAGTGCTAAAAAGCAAGGATATCACTTTAAAAACTAAGGTGCTCCTAACTCAAGACATGGTATTTTCAATCACTTCATATGCATGTATATTTGGTCGATGAAGTAGAAATTGATACCTTTGAACTATGGTATTGCTAAAGAGCGTTGAATATGCCACGGACTATCAAAAGAACAAACATACTTGTTTTGGAAGAAGTGCACCTAAGGTGCTCTTTAGCAGTAAGGTTGGTGAGCTCTTAATCACTCTTCTAACCTGGAACAAAACTTCACTCAACTTCTAGCCAAACAATAGACAAGGCTATAAGGTGAAGAGTAAAACCAGAGAGTCACTCAGTACTTAAAATAGCTCACTACAGAAGGGCAAAAGGGCAACATTTGCCTAAGACAAAGCCCAGAAAACAGAAAGGGGTAAGATAGAAAGATTAGTGGAAATGAGAGTCATAGGAAGGAATTGAGAGAGTGCAGTTGCATTATAAATAATGACATTAAGGCTGTAAAACAAAATGCATAGGAATGATTGAATGGAAAAATCAATTTGCTTTAAAAGCTTCCACCTAAATCATGGAGAACAAAGTTAGGATGGTGAGACTTTGATTAATATATTTTGGTATGTTATCAGTAGGCAATAGTCTGTGGAGAAGGACACTATGCTTGGAAAAGTGCTTGGTACTGAGAAAGAGGAAAACCTTCAAAGAAATGGACTGACATATTTACTGCAATAATGGGCTTAAAGTATGCACAGCAGCTACTGTGAGGAGGGCATGGGGTCAAGCAGTGTTTTGATCGATTGCACACAGAGTTGCTGAGTCGGAGCTGACTCAACAGCACATAACAATAACAACTACCACTAAGGGTGCAGGGAGGAGAAAAGGGAGCTTGATAAAAGATGTCAAGGAGATAAAGCACACAGCGTAGGAGAATAGGGGGAGGTGAGGAGGTGGAGAGATTTGTGATCAGATAGGTCTGGCTCCATCACTTGCTAGAAGTGTGACCTTGGGTAAACTATTTAATCAAATATCACTTTCTTCACTGACAGTGCTGCACTGCAATCCCAAAGGCATATGGTTCAAATGCATTGGCTGCTCTGTGAGAGAAGAATGGACAGTCTCCTCCCATACAACTTACTGCCTCTGAAAACCCACTAGAGGATCAGCTGTGGGTCAGTTTTGACTTAACAATACACAACAAAAACAATCCAGTAATAAGAATTTAATAAAAATAGTGCATATTAAAAAATCAGGCACACAACTGCCACTTAGTATATGGAATTTATGATTATTATGTACAAGATTTTGTAATAGGCCAGGTCTGGAAGATGAAGAAGGAAGAGCCAGAATGGTTAGATACTGATGTCCATGTCTTACCGTGGTTGAGGACAGGTAGACAAGCAAGCTTTCTAGGGAAGATAGGCTTGGGGCATGCTGATTCTGAGGTGCTGTGAGGTGGATGTGAGCATGTTCATAGGCAGTGCAGTGTACATGCAATCTGGGAGATGAACATGGCGTTCAGGGGTTTGTGGATACGTAATATTTCAGAAGCCAGTCATGGGTAATGGGAAATCCTGAGGCAGAGTATATTCAGTGAGAAAGGAGTTGGGTCAATGAACCTTGGTATACACCTACACCCAGTGAGCAGAGAGAGTCGGAGAAGACCTAGCAAAGGGAAGTGAGCAAGGGAACCACAGAGGAGAAGGTAAGTTGCAGAGAGCTTAAATGCTGAGATAGTAGGCGACACGAAGTGCCTATTGAATTTAGTGTTCAGAAGATCACTAGTAGCTGTTGTTAAACCACTTTCAGTACAGTGGTCAAGAAAGGCTTGTCTTGCAGAGGGTTAAAGTATAAATGAACAAGAAGGAGATATCAGTGATTACTTATTCCAAGAAGATTTGGTTATAAGTGAGATGTAGGGTTATAGAATTTAAGGGGGTGTGGAATTCCAGGATGGGCTCGTTTTTGAGATGGAAAGTGTACTTCAGGAGGTGAAAGGATCAGTATAGAGAACAGATGAAGGAATAATAGACAGAGAAGATCCAAAAATTTTGGAGGCATTAAGAAATAGGGCAAATTAGAATTTAAAAAAGACATGGTGTAGCCCTCTGGAACCTCACAACCTAAAGAGATAGATATACCACCGATACTGACGAAGCAGTGAGTCATTCTGCTGGGAGTAAGATAGGGTGGGGTTCCCAGAGTTTGAAGGTGGAAGAGGGAACTCGTCTCTAGAAGTGATTCACAAAGGTAATAAACTATTCTGTAGGTGCAGAAATGAGAAACTATAGATTAGAGAAGGTGGGAATATGCATCTGACAAAAGAGAAAGCCAAGCAGAATGAAATATAATGATAATATTCAAACATATGAAGGGAAGAACCATTCTAGTGACAAGGAATTAAGCAAGCTTGAGGGAACAAGTACGGCCTGTGGTAAACACTTCAAAGACAGACTTCAGTGCCATATAAGGCAGAGAAATCCAACACTGGGTTCAAGAGGGTACTGGCCCCTATAAGTGAATCTGTGGTCACTGGAGCTCCACTTGGCATAGACATTGTAGAATAAATTCCAGCCAAGGGCATGAGGGTAGACCTCTGAGGACCTTTCCATTCCAGCCCCAAGACTGGGAGATTCCCTTCGTGTGTCTGAGTCTGCCAGCCAGACTGGCAGGCTCCTGTGACTAGCATTCTGGCCACACAAGGAAAACTCCCATAGTTAAACAAGACAGTCACAGGAAGCTTAACTCCTAAGCAAAAGTCTCAGAATAATATGGCCATTCCTTAATCACTACTCTGACAAGTAAGCCCACGTCAGACAGAAAGCACTCCAGGAACACATTGGATTTCCTCCTGAATTTTTCTGAGTTCCTGAGGAAGCGCGTAAATGGTGCTAGAAATCCCAGTTCTGAGAAGATAATAGTAACTGATCTGCTGACTTCTTGATCTCTCAAAGGTCACGGTCATTA